GGAGGGGGGAGCTGTCTAAAATTTCCTGCCGCACAGAAGGTGAAGTCAAGGGTTGTAATGAAGACCACTCGGAGTCTCTGGAAATGCCGCACGTCAGCAGCAAGCAGGGCCGGCCCTTCCACGAACCGGCTCAGGCGTGAGGTCGTGAGGTCGCCGGCGAGGGTTCTGCCGGTGTCCCGGCTGGATCCACACGTGGTGTCGGGGAGGAGACAGGCGAACAGGCTCCGCGCTTATCGCGGCCCTAAAACTGGTCGCATTCGTTAGGCAACTGGAGGTTTCATTTCACTGTCAAAGAGAGGGAGCCGTTTTAAAATAAAATTTGTACAGCTTCTTTCTCACAAAGGCTAAGGCCGTCTGAACGACGCATTTCCTAGACCTTGCGTCCGTCCGCCGCCCCCTCCCGGCCCAGAGGCATGCCAGGGCCGGGAGCGCGAGGACCGTCGCAGGTCAAGGTGGTGTGTAATTACAGTGCCAGATGGGGACTGTTTCTGCCAACAGGATTCTGATTTAGTGCTAGCCTTTATCCAGTTCCAAATGGACTCCGCTTAATAGCGCCGCACGCTGCCAAAGCCTCCACGCAGCCTGGCCAGCATTCTGATTCGTCCTAATCTTGTGACATTTCGGAAAAGCCGCATTTTTAGATTGAATGAAGATGACATAGCGCTATTATAAGAATGACTACGTCCCGAAGAGATTGCAGGAGACTCACGCAGCGAAACAGAAGCTCCACTGAAACGCAGCCCTGACCCCTAAGGCCTGTACTGAGGGGAGGGAGGGTGTCCTGCCGATGGGAGACTTGTGGACCCAAGCTGCTGCTATTTTCTTTTTTGAAACCCTCGCCTGAGGATGTGTGTTTATTGATTTTTAGAGAGAGAGGAAGAGAGAGAGAGAGAAACATTGGTCAGTTGTCTCCCTTACTCTCCCTGACTGGAGATCGAACCCACAACCTCGGTGTGTGTCCCGGCCGGGAGATGGCCCTGCAGCCTTGGGCGGGGGGTGACGCTCCAACCAACCGAGCCGCCCGGCAAGGGCTAAGCTGCTATTTT